TATCTGGAGGTTATGTATAGAAAAACCTAGTGATGTTACGAGATGTTGTATGGAGCCTCATTGTGTTATCTTGCTGAACTAGGGTACGGGGATCCTGCTGCAAGACATGTAGTACTGCAGAGTAGAGAGATTGATCAATGTAACGCTATCTAGTGATGTTTTCCTTCCCAGATTACCAGATCTGTTTCAGCTGCATTGTCAGGGTACAGATGCTGCATTGACAGGGTACAGATGCTCCATTGACAGGGGTACAGATGCTGCATTGACAGGGTACAGATGCTGCATTGACAGGGGTACAGATGCTGCATTGACAGGGGTACAGATGCTGCATTGACAGGGGTACAGATGCTGCATTGACAGGGGTAGAGATGCTGCATTGACAGGGGTAGAGATGCTGCATTGACAGGGGTACAGATGCTGCATTGACAGGGGTACAGATGCTGCATTGACAGGGGTACAGATGCTGCATTGAAAGGGGTAGAGATGCTGCATTGACAGGGGTACAGATGCTGCATTGACAGGGTAGAGATGCTGCATTGACAGGGGTACAGATGCTGCATTGACAGGGAACAGATGCTGCATTGACAGGGGTACAGATGCTGCATTGACAGGGAACAGATGCTGCATTGACAGGGGTACAGATGCTGCATTGACAGGGTACAGATGCTGCATTGACAGGGGTACAGATGCTGCATTGACAGGGTAGAGATGCTGCATTTACAGGGCTACATATGCCGCATAGACAGGGGTACAAGGGCTGCATTGACAGGGCTACAGATGCTGCATTGACAGGGAACAGATGCTGCATTGACATGGGTAGTGATGCCGCATTGACAGGGGTAGAGATGCTGCATTGACAGGGGTACAGATGCTGCATTGACAGGGTAGAGATGCTGCATTTACAGGGCTACATATGCCGCATTGACAGGGGTACAAGGGCTGCATTGACAGGGTAGAGATGCTGTATTAACAGGGGTACAGGTGCTGCATTGGCAGGGTAGAGATGCTGCATTGACATGGGTACAGGTGCTGCATTGACAGGGCTAGAGATGCTGCATTGACAGGGAACAGATGCTGCATTGACATGGGTAGTGATGCCGCATTGACAGGGGTAGAGATGCTGCATTGACAGGGGTACAGATGCCGCATTGACAGGGGTACAATGGCTGCATTGACAGGGCTACAGATGCTGCATTGACAGGGTACAGATGCTGCATTGACAGGTGTACAGATGCTGCATTGACAGGGAACAGATGCTGCATTGACATGGGTAGAGATGCCGCATTTACAGGGGTAGAGATGCTGCGTTGACAGGAGTACAGATGCTGCATTGACAGGGTAGAGATGCTGCATTGACAGGGTAGAGATGCTGCATTGACAGGGGTACAGATGCTGCATTGACAGGGGTACAGATGCCGCATTGACAGGGTACAGATGCTGCATTTACAGGGCTACATATGCCGCATTGACAGGGGTACAAGGGCTGCATTGACAGGGCTACAGATGCTGCATTGACAGGGAACAGATGCTGCATTGACATGGGTAGTGATGCCGCATTGACAGGGGTAGAGATGCTGCATTGACAGGAGTACAGATGCTGCATTGACAGGGGTAGAGATGCTGCATTGACAGGAGTACAGATGCTGCATTGGCAGGAGTACAGATGCCGCATTGACAGGGATACAGATGCTGCATTGACATGGGGTACAGTTGCTGCATTGACAGGGCTACAGATGCTGCATTGACAGGGCTACAGGTGCCCCCTTGACAGGGCTAAAGATGCTGCATTGACAGGGCTCCAGATGCTGCATAAACAGGGCTAATGATGCTGCATTGACAGGGCTACAGATGCTGCATTGACAGGGCCAAGGACGCCACATTGACAGGGCTACAGATGCCGCATTGACAGGGCTACAGATGCTGCATTGACAGGGCTAATGATGCTGCATTGACAGGGATACAGATGCCGCATTGACAGGGCCAAAGACGCCACATTGACAGGGCTACAGACGCCACATTGACAGGGCTACAGATGCCGCATTGACAGGGTTATAGATGCCGCCTTGGCAGGGCTACAGACGCCACATTGACAGGGCTACAGACGCCACATTGACAGGGCTACAGACGCCACATTGACATGGCTACAGACGCCACATTGACAGGGCTACATACGCCACATTGACAGGGGTACAGATGCTGCATTGACAGGGCTACAGATGCTGCATTGACAGGAGTACAGATGCTGCATTGACATGGCTCCAGATGCTGCATTGACAGAGCTAATGATGCCGCTTTGACAGGGCTACAGATGCCGCATTGACAGGGCTCCAGATGCTGTATTGACAGGGCTCCAGATGCTGCATTGACAGGGTACAGATGCCGCATTGACAGGGCTAAAGACGCCACATTGACAGGGTTATAGATGCCGCCTTGGCAGGGCTACAGATGCGGCATTGACAGGGCTACAGATGCTCCATTGACAGGAGTACAGATGCTGCATTGACTGGACTAAAGGTCCGCGTCTTATTCCCACACAGTAGTGGCAGAATTGGAGTAGTTATTTTACATAACTTCACTGTATAAACCGAGTAAATCCATATAATTCGTACAATGTTTGTGTGTTGTTTAGCGTCGTTCTCAGTCCAACTACGTGACGGCGGTCTGTCAGTGATTGATATCGTGATTACATAACGGCCGTTTTTGAAGACAGGTTATCCTCTATATAACAGAAATGATGTACACCATGATTTGAAAATTATATAACCTAATATTGTGAACAGTTATATCATGTTCACCAGTCACGGTTGTCGCCAAATTGTGTCTAATCATGTGATAGTCAAGTTCACGAAACTAGTTCCAGAAAGGTTTCTTACTGAGCCCTTGGGTTGAGCCGAGCCGATGGAAGCAAGTGACGGTGAGGTTCGTGTTGTGGGACATGGCAATGCAAGAGTGAGTGAGTGAGTTGGGTTTAACATTGCTGTTTACAGTATTCCAGTTATATCACGGCGTGTCAGGCGTGGTGCTGACAAACCTAGAAACATAATCGGAACGAACCGGGATTCGAAACCACAATCATAGGTTTCTGGCGTGCCCAAGGGACGCAACTCTGCACAGCGAATCGCGGCGCTTCAGACGACTGGGACACCCGTGTCCCTGGCAATGCAAGAGCGCCACCGGGTGACCCAGTCAGGGGTACGGGTGACCCAGTCGTCAAAGGCGCAGCAATCCGTTATACAGAGTTGCGTCCCTTGGACACGTCAGAAACCAAAGTCGTGGGTTCGAATCCCGGTTCGCCCCGATTGTGTTTCAAGGTTTGTCTGCACCATATCCGTCTCGTGGGTAAACGTGTGAGACCTACATCACTTCCCAACCACATAAAGCTGACACACCGTGACTGGAATAACTTTGATACAGTTCAAAGCGGCGTTAAACCCAACTCGCTCACTGATTATCGAAATATATTGTTGTCCTCTTATGACCGCCTCCGTGGTCTAGTGGTAGAGCGTCGAGCCGGAGACCGGAAGGTCCGGGGTTGATCCCCGACCGCGTCATACCAAAAGACGTTAAAAGATGGTACTTGTTGTTACCCTGTCTGGCGCTCGGCCTTAAGGGGCTAAAACAAGGACTGGTCGACTCGGAGTCAGTATACTGTGTCTGAGTGGGGTATTCATGTTAAACTTCGGCATGGTATCTCAGTGGGCTAGCATTATAAATCGGCATCAGTCCGGACTAGTACAAGCAGCCACACAAACACACACACGTACAAGCATGTCGCTTTTTAAGTGCAATAATCTTGGACGCGACGTTAAACCCAATTTCACCCCAACTCACCTCTTATGTCAAGTGGGGCGGTCGGGTAGCCTAGTGGTTAAAGCGTTCGCTCGTCACGCAGAAGATCCGGGTTCGAATCCCGACATGGGTACAATGTGTGAAGCCCATTTCTGGTGTCCCCCGCCGTGATATTGCTGGAATATTGCTAAAAGCGGCGTAAAACCAAACTCACTCACTCACTCCAATGTCAAGTAAGTCACGTCCCCGGGCGCTTACTAGAAAAAAACACGGTCATGCTAGCGCCGCTTACAAAAGCATATTTCCTTTAACCCCTCCGCTTCACGGATTATGTGTGTAAGTGACCCTCCTGGTATTTTGTCCACGTCTGTGTTAGGGATAATAAATTTAGATAACTGAAGTACCGAACTAGTTGAGGGCACTAAATTATATACCCCATCACGTAGAGCGGAAACAGCGCCTACCAGCCTAAATCCTGTTTCGGAATGTATATTGATGAACACGCAAGTTAATAAGGCAGCATACTGTTGTACTGGGTACATGTGCCCTCTTTAATGAGTAAGTAAGGTTTTACGTTACTGCCCTTCAAAGACAACATGTAACCTAGTGGTTAAAGTGTTCGCTCGTCACGCCGAAAACCAGTGTTCGATTCCCAACATGGGTTCAATGTGTGAAGCCCATTTCTGGTGCCAACCCCCCCACCCCCTAAAACCCACCCCCCACCCACACACACACACACACACACCACCCCCACACACACACCCACACACACCACCCCACCCCACCCTACCCCGACCCCAACCGCCGTGATAGTGCTGGAACATTTCTAAAACAGGCGTAAAACAATACTCTCTCACCCAGTACCTACACCAGTGCATCAGCACCTCCTTATATAAGTTTACAAGCTTACGTCAGTATATCAATCAGCTACACAGACACAAGACATGCACAAACAAGTTAATTGAATCGTCACCCACATGGGGTTTGATGACGCAACGACTTGAGAACCATGAGGATTTAGTTGCACGGATTTTTATCGCATCATCGCTGTGTGCTGCGTCTACAAACGACGCCGTCTCATTACAAAAGGGGATCACGTGACAGACACGGCTTTAGACAATGGTACATGTACAGTGGTACAGCCATATCACATCACAGTTGACCTAGTCCCAACCAAAAAAACCCGTGAGAAGCGAGAAGACGACACTTACCTACCGGTTTTGAAGCAGACGACAATTCGACCTTGAAGCAAAGTCACAGCAAGTACATTGTCCGTAACATGATTGACCTTCACAGCGGACGCAATATCCAAAGTGTTCTGTTTACTTCAGGTGAAGCTATTAATAAACCTCTCCCGCCCGGGCAGCCATGGTTCCCGGAATAGTTGTGTGTCGATCAATGAAGGATAGATGAGAGTGTAGATGGACGCCTCCCTCTAAAGATGATCATGTGAATGCCCAGATAAATGAAATAAGGACAATGTTCTTTGCGTCGAGTTTATCACTGACAGCGACACTTCATGAAATAATGCTTCAACCATAGGGTCTCTGCATACAATAAATAAGAACGGCTGTTTACGAGATCGGAATTTCACTTGTAAGATTCTTCGATTTATTATTGGCACATATTTTTTATTCAGTCTCATTCACTTTCTATTATACCTTAAAGGTGAGGTGAGGTGAAATTGGGTTTAACGTCGCGTCCAAGATTATTGCACTTATATAGCGACGTGCATGCATTTGTGTGTTTGTGTGCGCGCGCGCGTGTGTGTGTGTGTAGTAGTAGTAGTAGTCCGGACTGACGCCGATTTATAGTGCTAGCTCACTGAGATACCATGCCGCAGTTTAACATGAATACCCCAATCAGACACAGTATACTGACTCCGAGCCGACCAGTCCTTGTTTTAGCCCCTTAATGCCGAGCGCCAGGCAGGATAACAACAAGTACCATCTTTTAACGTCTTTTGGTATGACGCGGCCGGGGATCGAACCTCGGAGCTTCCGCTCTCCGGGCGGACGCTCTACCCCTAGACCACGGAGGCGGTCTTTACCTTAAATAAAGCGATAGGGCGCAGATTCGCCAACACGCCCCTAGTCAGGATCCGCTGATTGTGTGATCGAATTCAATTTTCGTGCTGATTATTATATTTTGATTGTGGAAAGATATGCCCCTGCTCGTGGGTAACGATTGGACCAATCGTCTAAGGCGCCGCAATTCCCTTAGGAACGCTAGAAACCTATGATTTTGGATTCGAATCCCGGTTCGCCCCGATTATGTTTCTAGGTTTGTCAGCACCACACCCGTGCTCGTGGGTTTCGCCGAAGTGGTAAACGTCTGAGACCTGCATCACTTCGGGCTTTCTTCCCACAACTGTAATACTGTTCCAAAGGGTGTCAGAAACAAAACTCACTCACTCACTCACTTGTTGTGAATTCCAGCCGTTAATTTATAATGTAGGTAACATTAACATCCAAAAGGGTTCGAATTTCCGGGATGTGACTCTTTCGCCAAATTACTAATAAATAAAGTGCAACCAACACTAGTTTGTTTTACAGTACGGTCACGTGTATCTATAAATGTCAAGGCCGTTATTTACACTCCCGAGGTTACCTGTGTATTATTCTGCCAATCAAAACCAAGCTAGCGATGTGCGTCTTCTGTGACGCAAGTCAACGACCTTGACCTGCGCCATACGTATATCACAAATGCGGCAAGGCAAGTGATGGTAATGGTGAATTGTTCTTGTACTGTGTTTACTGTTTTTGGAATTCGATGCTACGACCGGGTACGAAGCACGTCAAGGAAGGGAGCCTTTAAGATTTAGACGATAAATCGGCGTACATGGTTGAACACTTCGACACTGTCTGGGGTGTGTTCTGGAGACAGGAACGTCTTTGGAGGGTCAGAGCTCAAGGTGCTCATTTCAATCACCTCTCACGATACAAGACGTCAGCAGGATATAGATATACATATTCTCCCCATGTGATCCAGGTTTCAATGAGATACTATTCAAGGGAAACGACAAGGATCTCGACAAGGTCATGATATATGAGATGGCTATTGAATAAACACTTCTGACGTAATTCTTAACCCGAAAACAAGCTCTGTTAATGTGTTTCTTTTCACATAATGCTATTATTATTTTTCTACATGATTATTGCAACGCTTGAAACTTCCGTCACGGGTGTTGCAATTCATATTCATTTCAATTGTTCTCAAAGCTCCGGTTATGCATTATGTAGGTCGTATTTTTGGGGGTGTCAGAGGCTAAAAACGCGGGAAGGCAAAAAAAAAAAAGAATATTAGCCAGGATGAGGTAAACATATTACCGTATGTCCTCTAATAGAGGCTGCATAAAAAGTTCAGTTTTATCACGGCATGTCAGCCTGATGTGGGAGGAAAGCCCGAAGTGATGTGGGTCTTACCACTTTGGTGAAACCCACGAGCACTGGTATGGTGCTGACAAACCTAGAGAAAAAATCATGGTGAACTGGTATTCGAAACAACGACCACAGGTTTCTGGCACGTCAGACATCGAGATGGGCCCGGACTGTACGTCGTTGGCAGCGACGTGACTGACAGTGGGTCGTCTTTACTATTGAAAGCCGGTTCTGTCTGATCAGATCTGATGGAAGACAGCGTGTTTACCATGGAAGGAGAGAACGAACAGTGGCATGTTGCTTTCAGAAGGTCGTGCCGTATGATGGAGGGAGTGTTATGGTGTGGGGAGGAGAGAACACCACTGGTCATCGTTAACGAAATCTGACAGATAAGCGTTACATGGATGACATTCTTCGTTCGATTGTCCTACTTTTTGTACAACAACCGCCACGTGGTGTCCTTCATCGACATGAACCCCATGCAGCCAGAATCGTACAGAACTTCCTTGCAGCCAACAACGTCAACGTCTTGCCGTGGCTCCCCAGACATGTCCCTAATATAGTGAGTGAGTGAGTTGGGTTTAACGCCGCTTTTAACAGTATTCCAGTTTTATCACGGCGTGTCAGCTTAATGTAGGAGGAAAGCCCGAATTGATGCAGGTCTCAGACGTTTACCACTTCGGTGAAACCCACGAGCACGGGTATGGTGCTGACAAACCTAGAAACATGATCGGGGCGAACCGGGATTCGAACCCACAATCATAGGTTTCTGGCGTGTCCAAGGGACGCAACTCTGCACAACGAATCGGGGCGCCTTAGACGACTGGGCCACCCGTGCCCCCGAACCCCAATAGAACACTTCTGGGATGTCATGGATCGTCCTGTTCGACAGCCACCACATCCTTTAGGCAACCGACAAGACCTGATCCAGGCCCTAAAAGAAGAATGGCGACGAAGCTCACATGTCGTCATCAGACGACTGCCTTTTTCTGTGCGCCGGAGACCTTTTGCGTGTCTTGAAGCAGGGGCGGTCAAACACGTTATTAATGTCACGTGCCATTCAGATGTGTGGGGGTCACGGGTGGCCCTGTCCTTACCCTGTCTGGCGCTCGGCATTAAGGAGCTAAAACAAGGACTGTTCAGCTCGGAGTCAGTATACTGTGGCATGGTATCTCAGTGAGCTAGCACTATAAATCGGCATCAGTCCGGACTAGTACAAGCAGCCACACAAACACATACACGTAGATGCACGTCGCTATATAAGTGCACTAATCTTGGACACGACGTTAAACCCAATTTCACCTCACCTCACCTCAGTCTTACGGACCCTGATCGGCGATTGTTACCGTTATGGATAATTGGCGTGACCATACAAATGCATGTAAGCGTTATTCAATATATACTCTGCAAAAAAGACTTAAAAGGAGTAAAATCGTAAATATCTGACAGATTGTTGCCGACATCTATACACAATTCATACCAAAAATGAATTGGTCATTTCTGCATGGATTGGGATTGATTTGAGTGGAAAGAATGAGATACTGCAGAATTTGGTGAGAAGATGGAAAAATTGCAAAAACACAATCACGTGAGAGCCTGGCGCCGAAACACGTCAACATGATATGCACGTGCAACATCACATGTTGGGATATAAAAAACGTGGGTTTTTATTTGCATTCCATCACAATCTTACAGCAAGTGAACAGTGGAAACATGCCATGACTGACGGAAGCCGAACGCAAAAACGCCATCGGCCGACTGCAAACATGAGAATCGTCTGTGGAACCGTTGTCAGACACATGGAACAACACGTGACCTTCCCAGATAGACCATGTATCACATCCAGACTCACACGGATACGTTAATTGAAAAAAACACCATGGCCACCTCCACAACTACAGCCATATCAGGATTGCGTAGGATATCTCAGGACACCGAGGAACCGTTTACGCGCAGAGTGAGTGAGTTGGGTTTAACGCCGCTTTTAACAGTATTCCAGTTATATTGCGGCGTGTCAGCTAAATGTGGGAGGAAAGCCCGAAGTGATGCAGGTCTCAGACGTTTATCACTTCGGTGAAACCCACGAGCACGGGTATGGTGCTGACAAACCTAGAAACATAATCGGGGCGAACCGGGATTCGAACCCACAATCAGAGGTTTCTGGCGTGTCCAGGGGACGCAACTCTGCACAGCGAATCGCGGCGCCTTAGACGACTGGGCCACCCGTGCCCCCGTTTACGCGCAGAAGGTATTCGCGCTCGACGAACAGTTCGAGGTGTCATCTTTACGGACCTGTATCGTCGGCTTCGAGGGCAGTGGTGTCAAGGTTACAGAGTATGGCTGCAACTGCGATGGAGACAAGTTTAAGTTTGATTTAGTGACCAATCCAGTTTTATGCTTCGCCGTGCGGATGGTAGACGTCGCGGGGAACTGCATACAGGAAGTGGACAGATTTGGTGGTGGTAGTGTCGTGTTGGCAGCCATCTCCAACACTGGTCGAATAGACTTGCTGCAAGCTCTTGGGAATTTAACGGCACCACGTTACACGGATTAGGTTCTTCGACCACAGGTCCTTCCCACTATGCAACAAGTGAGCGCCATTTTCCAACATGACAACGCCCTACGTCACACAGCAAGACTGACAACAGCCTTTTTTCAGGAATAACAACATCCATGTACTGCCATGGCCCTCCAGGTCAGATCTGAACCCAATTGAAAATTTATTGGATGCGCTGGATCAATGACTGCTAGCACATCAGCAAGAACCACAGAACCTGCGACAGTTGGCACAAGCACTGCAGACAGAGTGGGTGGACATTCCCCAAGCCTCAATTCAAGATCTGATTGCTTCCATGGGACGACGATGCCGGTCAGTTTTGGAGGCCATTTAAGATGACCTTCACCTTGAACATCTACTGTTCCATGTGTGCCATATGGATCCTCGGGCGATGACAAGGATGTGTACCAATTTTGACCAATCGATTACCATCTGTTGATTATTGATATGATAAAGGA